CTCGCAATCTGAGGGTCGCGGGTTCGAATCACCAAACATGCTCGCCCTTTCAGCCGTGGGGGCGTTATAATGTGACGGTCAATCCCACTATTCGTTGGTAAAAGAGTAGCCCAAGAGTTGGCGGTGGGTGGTGATGACTAGCTGCCTTCCCTCTAGTTTTACACTGCTAAATTAGGGACGGCTAGCGCAGATAGCCCTCGTGTAGCTTTGCGCGAAAATTCAAAACAAACAAACAATTATTCATCATGCTTCTCTACGTTGTTTGTGTACGAAATGCCATTTCCAGAATTCCTTAACCACGTAGTTGGAATGAGTTGTTGCGAAATATTTGCGATGTTGTTGTAATTGAGACGTAGATATATGCAATAGGAAATTATAATAGAAAAAAAAGGGTTGAAAATTGGACTGGTGTTACTACTATATGTTCATCCTACTGTCATCAACGATAAGCCTGTTTTAAAAAAAGAAGCATAGTGTTGGAATAATGGCTCTATTGGTAGCTACAGTGTGTTAATAATTAATGCGTAATTACTGAGCGTAATTCTGTTTAGCTATGGCCAAATTCTCCTTGTTAGGTTATATGATTGATAAAGAATCACCATAACTAAAAAGGTACACATCGCAATTTATTGTCAAGAACATTTATCATATAACCTAACAAGGAGAATTTGGCCATAGCTAAATTGTCAAGGACATTTATCATATAACCTAACAAGGAGAATTTGGCCATAGCTAAATTGTCAAGGACAATATTATGAGCCTCCTCCTTTAAAAAAAAAATTAATGGTTACGCCTGCGTCAGTGAAAGCAAAAAATTAATTATAGAATAATTTATTTTTATACCTTCACTAATGTTATCACCATTTTTAAAATTAATTTTATTTAACCTGGTTTTGTTTTTTGTTGTTGTTGTTTTTTTGTTTTTTTGTCAAGTACATTACATCTTAAACCTTAAGTAGACCCGAAGAAGAACCCGAACTGTAAGTCGAAACGTATTTCCATAGAAGGTCCTATGTATGTGGATGGAGTTCGTTGGACGTTTCAAAACTTCTAATAAATAAAAACAAACGTCATTTTCGTAATCAATGAATATCATAATCTTACTTTAACAAGTTACTTTTATTACGCGATAAAGTTCTTGTCACATTAAACCTAATTAAAAAAATCTGAACGAATTCAAAACATAAAACGAAAAGAAATAAATTAGCATTAAAAAAGCAATTAGATGAAAGTCATAAAAACACCAGAGCCACGTATTCTCTACTTTTCAAGTAATCACTATTACATTAATTATTAAATGCTTATTCTGTAATTACTACGTTATCATTCTTTAACAATTAGTTTTGTTTCTCGGAGTGAAGGCATTCTTGACAGACATAATATACAGAGTAAAAACATGAAACCATTTAAATAATGTAAACATGTTTAGATTAGAGTTGTGACTGAATATACAGTTAGCAAATATGAAAGAGATATTTCCCTAAGCAGACCGATAGGCTGCGTTAATAACTCTTAAAAAAAAAAGACATTTATTGAGGTAATAAGTGGTGATAAATATTCGGTGGAACAGTCAGAGCTATGTCACGCAGGAGGGTCATATATTAACTATGTGATTCGTTTTGTTTGTTTTTTAATCCAGACTTTATTACTTCTAAGGATCGTAAGATAAATCATCATCTATACGAAAATGTTTTATCAGCCCTGACTTCAAAATGAAATTGTGGTCCCTCTATTATAAATGAATTGAGAATTTTAAATCATGCGATTAAAATTATTGTATTCTAAATCCGGCGACTCTGTTAACTTTATAAATGACCCAACAAATCTTTATGTCTGAAGCACGCCTCAAAGACTCCTCGTTCACTCATATAAGAAAAGGTGGAGTGTATTAAATAAGAGGTAGGGAAAGAAACAAAAAAAGAGGAAATATTTCCCATACGTTTGGTGGCGAACATATTTGCAATCAAAACTGCAAATGACAAATGAAAGGTTTTAAATCGTGATTTTATTTGACAGTTAGAAACTTGCAAAGAAAATAATAAATGGGTAACGGGAAAAAGCATTTCATTCACACGTCTACGAGTTTCTGAAATCTTAACAAACTGAGAAAAGGATGGACACATTTACTGATACACAATGATGTAACCACGAAGATATTAATAAGGAGAGCCTAAAAATGGTGAAATAAACACATTTATCGATACACAGCGCTGTAACCACGTGATTGTTAAGGAAAGGGCTATATCCCCCCAACATTTCGACATAGAAAAAAAAAATATATATATACAAATCTATATTTAAAGAAAAATGGAATACAGGATTGAACGGGAAACATAGCAATAGGTGGAACTGAAATTGACTAAGTGATGATACGTGTTAACAGTGTAAATATTCCGTTACATTTATACTTGTGTGTGTATATAAAGTAAGACACCATATTTTGTGATGCGTACCTACGAAAGAAGTTATAATATCTGCTGTTAAGGATATTTTATTCTGGTGAATGTTCCATCAGAAGTTGTCATCATGAACCTTGGCCTCTCACACTCTCTCCCGTTCTTCCTCCCATCACGACCACCAGATATATAGATCTTATAGCACTTATATGTACATATACATCTCAACCTCCCTTTCCCCCCTGCCAGTAGCTCAGCAGTAAGTCTGAAGGCTTATAACACTAAACACCGGGTTTCGATACTCGTGAAGGACACAATACAGATAGCCCATTGTGTAGCTTTGCGCTTAACAACAAACATACAAATATATCTTAGCCCCACTTATAAATTTGTTCCACCATCTTTTCCTTCTGATTTGCTGCCCTGTTATATGACTACAGTAAGAATAAGTTGTTTTTGTTTCTAATTATTTAAAGGTTAACTACATTTTTAAGGACATTACAGAAAAAAAAGGGGGGGTGT